TTGAAGTTGACGGCCATGTAAATCTGGCGAACTGGTACAGCACTGCGAATGGTCCAAGTTCAGCTTTGAGATGTACCAAGCTCCTGCAGGTATATGAGCGAGCTTAGACACACGTTTTGACTTGGTGTTGTCGAGCGCTGACTTAGATGGTCTTTTTTTCGTGAATGTAACAAACCACCGGCAGCCTTGCGAAGTACATACCCAAGTCTTCATATTTCCGTACGCGTACTTCCGGTACACACTCTTGTTCTCGTTCAACGCGTAGTCTTTTACGAAGGCACCCGCTGTCGAAAGATCAACAAAGAAAGCGTGTAAAACACACTGGTCTTGGTCGTACAGACGCATCAAGTCAAGCTGGGGCATTTTGACTATAGAGTTTGCTGTGAGAGCGATGCAGAGTTTGAGTATGACAAGAACATCTCATAAATATAAATTTATTTTTGTACGTGTTGCTGCCTAAATAGGTAAGTACAGTGGCGTCCTCAAGTCTTGTACAACCCCATCACTACTAACTACCAATCACATCAGTTGTGGTCCTTGGTGATAAATTCTCGCGTTAATGTGGTCCCTAGAGATAAATATCCCACGAAGAGATACTAAATTTCACAGAGCTAATGACGCTTTTATCATCTCGCTATGCTGAGTCTGCATTACAGACAGTAAGATTTCTGGTACAGACGATCCCCTCGGTAGTAATACCTAGGCTTGGAATACTCCCTCAATAGCAATAAATTAGCGGTTCCCGTTGACCAGTCACATACAAACCCAATATATTATTCCCTCTCACCCCTCAATCGTAAATGTACTTGCCAGTTGGGTTTCGTGGAGTGAAGAGGGTGTTGCCGTCACAGGTGTGCAATTAGAGTGAAGGTTGAGCACTTCTCCGTGGTCCTTTAGCTCGAATCACGTCCAAAGTAGCCAAAATAGGCATCACCGGCTCAACATTCGGATCGTGGTAGCAACAATGCTCTTGTGCAGCTATGGCTTATTTCCATAGTTAAGCATCCCATAATAGAAATATTTGACTTCAAATGTATTCCATTTACGATTGAGGGATGAGAGGGAATAATATATTGGGTTTGTATGTGACTGGTCAACGGGAACGGCTAATTTATTGCTATTGAGGGAGTATTCCAAGCCTTGGGATTACTACCGAAGGGATCGTTTGCTCGTAGGGGTCCCAACGTTAGTACTTAACCTCAACTTCAATTTTGATAGGTTGAGGTTAGCAATCAACGATTCTCCTACATAATGGATAGAGATTCGATATTTGTTGGACGGCTAGTCCAGCTATTTCGAATATCGACTTGGGTATATTTGAGCTTGTGCTGGAAAAACAATCCGCTAGAGCCGAAAAAGTGGGACTGTGTACACATTAATGTGTGGTTGCGTACCTAAGCGTTTTGGGATAATACAATAT